CTGCCTTGACCTGTATATAAGACTCTTCCCCCATGTACCTAAGCTCCTTTAGTTCGTCCATCTTGCAATCTAGCCTGTAGATGTTCTTCTCTGCTCTCTGTCTGTATCTTGCACACCTTTGTGCTTGATATCTGTTTGTCTGTGTATCATCTTGCACAGCTCGGAGGTCCCCACCAAGTGTGTCCCTAGCACTGGGGACCTGGATCCACTTGCTAACAGAGTCTGAGTGCTTGTCATGAGTTACGAGTTGTATACAGATTTAAGTACCAATTTGGTAGACAATAGGGGCAAGTTAAACTAGAAGCTATAAGAGCTGTCAGAATAACAACACTCGGACTCCTACCACTCCACCTCCAGTTTTCTCATGCTTTTGAATGCCTCCTTGCCACCGCTAGTGCCTCCTGACCTTAGAGGACTGCTAGTGAGGATGCGGACAGTCATAGGAAGTCCTTGAGGTAGATGGGTTAGCAGGTAAGTATGAGCCAACTTGTTTCCACTCCCGCCACTCCAGTTCCTCTGCCTTTAGGCAACTCCATGCCCAGCCTTCCGGCTCGGAAACCTTTACCAAAATTCAGAAAGAAGACAGTGGCAGACAAGGAGAAAGAGAGAATGGAGAGGGAGGAGAAGAAAGGAGAGGAGAGAGAGGAGGGGGAGAAGGATAAAAGGGTGAAGCGAGGGAAGGACTGGAAGGAGAAGGAGGTGCCAGAACCCAGTGAGGTACATGCCACAACCACTGCATCGCCTGCGCGCCCATCTTATGCGCTACCCCCGCACCCCACTGTGCCTTTACCGCAGCATGCCAATTAACTGGTACAGCTGCAAGTGCACCGACTACCGCCACTCCAGTATGTTCGGGCTGGCAAGTTCAAGCCCATCAAGCTACTTAAGTCAAAGAAGCTTGAGATGACAGACAAGGTCTTACCTTCTGTTGACCGCATGCTCAAGGCAGCTCCTTCGGCTTCGTCAACTCCAGTGACTACCGCAGAAGTGGTGCCCAAAGCCCCAGTCAAGTGCAATGCACCTCTCGAATACTTAGCCATGGCGAGATGAAAGTGAGGTGCCCTTTCCGCATAGAACATGACAAAGCTGCCACCAGACCCGGACACCACCCCTTCATCTGGCTTTATATACACAGACAGCCTCTAGGGCCCATACAAGTATACATGTCAATCTCAACTTATCAACGCCCGTGCCACATACATGGCATTCATCTGGCAGCCCACTGACAATACTGCCGACTCCACTGAGTTCCGGCCAAGAGATCTGACTGGCGACAATAATCTTGTGCCGATTGGATATGCGAGTGCCTTCAGGACCTGCAAGCTAGTCTTGTGGCCACCATGCGACTGCTTTAGGGCATCTTTCTTTTGGATGTATTGCTCCCAGAGGACTTTACATAGAATGTGCTCACAGAGATGACTGTTCCAGAGATTGTAGTGGGGAACATGTAGAAAGCACAATACCTCCTTTTGTCGGATTTCCTGCAGCACAAGCTTGACTGCGCCCTAGCGTGGCGGGAGTTCCAGTGCTGTGCATTGATAATCAAAGCCTTCCTGTATAAATGTGCCGTACCCCTTCGCAATATCGACTATCCCACTGTGGCTTGTCTGCGCAAATATGTCGAGGACTATGGTGATGCTCCAAAGCATGGTGTCATCCTTACTGGGGATGATATTGAGCGGTTCCACCTGTTTCTTGTGGGAAACAGGGTGCCTATCTTTGTTCTTATCCCTTTCGAGGAGTTGGCCAGCACCACTGACTGGATATACTCACTGACGAACAACTGACACTGCTCTGTAAATGTCAACACCAAACTTAGTATGTGGTATATTACCTACTTTATTCTTATGCTCTAAAAGCATCCTGTTAGGCTCCATCAAACAGAAAGACCTCCCACAATTGTAGTATCCAGCAAAAGGCATTGCATGGAAGGTATCGGAGATGATGGCAATCTTGGGAATACACCATCCACGTAAGGATTCAGAGACTTTGGATGAGGACACGGAGGCAAAGGCAGGCAGAGAAGAGGAAGTGTTTGGCGAGTTTCAGCCGTCAAAGCATGCCCGGGCACTCAAGCAAAAGTGCATCACTAAGGATGAAGGTATGCATATTTCCTTATATATATATATTTACCATTTTCTGACAGCACATGCTTATGCAGTGAGAAAATGCTGACACCTCAAAGAAGAAGAAGATTGCGAGCATCATGAGCAGGAGTCCAAGACAAAGCACCCGCAAATGACTCAGGTTACCAGCACCAAACACTACAGGTGGCTCTGTGAGTGGGTACCCGCTCTACAAAGCTACTCCGATCACATCACAAATCCATGCTCCAAGTACCTCCCGCATTGCATCATTCTATACACACATGCAGATGCCGAGATGCTTGACCATGCTGTCATGCTGGACTCGCGGACAAAATCATAGGCATTGTACATTCTCTCTCTGCATATCATCATTAGCACAAATTCCGAGTGCCAAATTTGTTACCTTATCAACTTTGTCTACCTTCTGCCAGCATTCCTCAAAATCATCCAGCTCAAGCAGTGAAAGCCTGACAGTGATCTTGGCTGCTTCAAACCAAAGATGTGGAGGCTGGTCCTCAATGGTATATGACAGGAGAGCAATCTCTGGGCCGACCACCCCGACAACGTGCTCAGTGGCAAGGACTTGTTCAGGTCTGCATGGGCATACCTCAAGGCCTCCCCCGCCAAGCACCCTGCCTGGGTAATGCTTTCTTGTGGGCACAATATAACTGAGGAGCTTCTACTCGGGGACAAACTCGTTAGGGTGGGCCTTGTCTTTGAACTCAACATGGGGAATCAGCTCCACTGGCTCCCCGAGCTCCTGCCCCGCCATATGCTTGAGGAATCATCATGGAGATGGATGATGAATGGGGCATCCACAGCAGGCTCGACTACACTATGCTAGACCCAAACGGCTCGAACAAGGCACTGGATGCAATCAAGTGCGTTGCACTCGGCGGCAATATGATTCGCAAAGACGGCTGGCTCGAGCCCTGGTCTACCAAGGGTGATACGCTGCAAGAGCGCCAACAGTGGCTACAAGACATGGCTAACTTTATATCGGGTATCCGTTGTGCAAAGAACCTCGACCGCAAGCAGGAGGGCTCACGCGACTGGCCGTATACACATGAGGCGCTCAAAACACTCCAGATGGAGCACATGATGGAGGAGCAGCTTGCAGAGCTCAAGCTACACCTCTACCTCTGCTATACACTATTGTCGCTTGGGCGTGGCCATCTGCCGGCCAAGAACCGAATTCTGCCTGATGGCAACTTCCTACACTGCCTGGTGTGTCATGGGAGAGATGCAAAGGAGAACAGTGATATAATGCAGCAGCTAAACAAGTTGCCGGACGAGGATTAGGGGAGTACTGTGCAGGTATGCCACACTCTGTTTCCCCCTCGATAACTCGCTGGTTTTGTTGCCGACAGCTCCCTACGGGCTCATTTTCTCTCATTTTCCTTTCTTTCTTCTAGACTGAAGCCCTACATCATATCCTGTTTCACTCATCAATTCTTCCCTCGTACCACCCATATCTATATCTATACAAATTCTACTTTACAATGCCCCCTAAACTCCTACTTATCTTACTACTGTACACTATCTTACAATATACACACATTATTCATGCTTTTAGACCCAAAGAGGGAGGGCAAGAGGTTCAATTTGAGTACGGATAAAGACGCAATGAGGGCCTCTAAGCACAATTTAGCACTTCTGAGGAGCCTATGAGCAGCAGCGAGGCTGAAAGTTCATGCCAAATAAGCCACCGCTTAGCCAACTCGCCCTTGAGATATCATGAGGCAGATTCCGGCGATCTCTTGTCTGAGCTGGCAATGAGGCCGCTTTGCCGCCAAATTACCCAGTGGGTGTTTCCCTGATCTATAGTGGCCGCTTGGATAGTCATGACTATCTCCTACCATTTCAGTCTAGCGGATTGACATTTTTACTATGTAAAGTGAATATCTTTCTGCTGTTTATATTTTTTGTAATTCAAGTCGTATAGGTGTGAGACTCTAAAGCTATACTGTTCTGTACTTTAATTAGTGTATACAATGGTGAAAGACATCAAATAAGTACTGTAGAGCCTTGCAATAAATGGATGAAAATGAAAAGGAAGGCAAAAAACTGGCATAATCAGAAATTGAACCCACAACCTCAAGCATTATTAAAGCGTTACACCAGCTCAGCCATTCACCCACAGGGTAAATAATGTGATCTCAGACCATATACCCACACTTTCTTCACTTTGTATGAGCAAACTATATTGCTACTGCCCCCACCACTCAAGTAAAATACCATAAAATATTCAGAGTAGTAGTTGAGATCAATATAAAGTCTTTCAGAAGTATATATAGACTATTGGTAACCCACAGAGGCTGATGGAGCTAGAGGGAGTGTAGCGCACTCTAGCTCCAGTAGCCACTATGGTGGTATAGGTATTGTAATAGATTGTGAGACTATCAAGGTTAGGGGGTTAGGGTTAGAGGTTAGGGTTCAGGGTTAGGGTTAGGGTTATGCACACAACTCTTACAGTGGCATACAAAAAAAGTGCAGCGCATTTGTTCTTGCTTGAGGTATACTAGTAGTAGATATTGCACTTACCAATATACTTGCACCTGTGCCCTGAGTCATTACAAACTAGCATAGTCGGTATGTATTTAAGAAAACAAATTGCATGTCTGAAATGAATAACCAGATAGTCATAGCAATTGACTGGATAATCACTTTACATACCAAAAATGACAATTACGAGTCATCCCTGACTCGTTGATTTACCAAGTTTTGAGCGAGAGAGTAGCTTGGGGTGCCGTGCCTGAAAGAAACGCCCGATCCGGTCATTTGTTCCCACGGTCGATGCATGTCGCGGATTTCGACCCAAAATGGAAGCCTTTCCCACACACCTTCTTCTGCCCACCATGTCTGCCTCTCCTGTCTTCCACTGTATGCTCTATGAATACAGTGCTTCCTCTCCATTAATATGATTGGATTCTAACTACTATAATGATAGTGTAGCTTCCCTGAGGTTATCTCTGAGACCTATAGTCACACAAGGTAATTTCTGTGCCAGCTCACATCTGGCTGAGCCTAGAGCTTGGTACTATCTCAATCTGTTCTGGGACTACCTAGGGCTCATCCTAATCCGTTTTTGAATGGTATTTTGAATCTGAACAAATCATAGTAATCTGAGCAGAACTCGGACTGCTATAGCCTCTGCAAGGTGAGTTCTGACACTTGGGGAAAGGTAGCATTGCTGGCCTATGAGTTCCAACGGATAATTTGCTATGAGACTTGGTACACACCTACTTTCAGGTATGCACTATTTGATTCTGATTTTTACAGGGTTCCCTAACTTGTGGTATCTGAGTATTGGGCAAATTGATTGGTATATTCTCGCATTTTGCTGTAGTCCTGGCTATCACTGTACTAGTGCTGACCTATGGAATGGGATTCTGAAGTCCCCTATGTCTGAGAATATGATGGTGAGCTTTACCTGGCTTGCTAGTAAACCGTTCTCTAGTACTGTCCACTTCTCCCCCTAGTTCCCTCCCTGCTCATCTCCTTTTGGCCTAGACTGCTCTTGACTTTGTCCCATCACTTTCTAATGCTTACCACTGTGTTCTACTTGAGATTTGGACCCTGGTGACATCAAACTTCATACTGATTGCTATAGATCTGAGCTATACAGATCAGTTTCCGCTCAGACTGGAGCGTGGGAAAATTTCAGAGGCAGGCGTCGTGAGCTCGAGCTCACGACACAGCGTGGGAATTTCGCCTCAGGAGCCATCAAATTCCCCCCCCCCCAAGGGTCTGTCACTCAATACTGGCCACAGGATAGCCATGCTATATGGCTACATGCTTCTCAGTGATAGCTATGATCATTGTGAGTAGGCTAGCAATGCTGCTGTATGCAATTAAACAACCAGAGAGCTAACAGATCTGTTTAGGAGAATGTTTCCAAAGAACTTTCCATGCATTGCTGGAAGCAAATCAAACTGGATTTGCATCCGGCAATGCAAGAAGATTGATCTCATCACTGTGCCTGCCATCACTTCATTTATCCGATTTCTTGTTGTGGAGATACAGGCTAAACAATGGGCCAACTGGTAGGCAGGTTGGGGTTGGCATGCTGGCCTAGCAGTATCCTGTGGATGTATCAGACTGTATGGGTGCACTCTAGGGTTATCACGTATGCAGATTCCAAATATGTACTCGGTTTTGGAATGTGGGCAGCCATTCTCTTGTGGTAAGCCATTCATTGTCCCACATCTGCACCTCCTCCCTTCCTGGCGCTCCCCTACCGGTTTTTACTCCGGTGGGCTGTAGAGCGGTACACATACTCTTCAGATATGTATCTTATGATACCCAGCTGGTGCTAGCGCTCCGGTCCCGTGTTCTAGCATACTTCCCTATTCCCTCTCCTCCTCCTCCTCCCCCCTCTATTGCTACCCCTCGGGTTCTAGCGGATAGAACATGTGCCCACTTGGTGTACCCCCCCTTTCAAGTACTGGGAACACGCCTGTAGCATCCGCTTAGCCGGCACCATACACGTTCTCACGCTACACAGTGGTCTTCCTCCCCCTCCCCTCCTTCATCCCCCCCCTTGCCTCTTCATTTCTAGCGGCTATATGCTACCCAAAACTTGGCCTAGACAGTATTCACATGCTAGGAGCATGACTGTCATGTCCGCTTAGCTCTCTAGTTCATTGATCTCAATCTATCAACTAATCTACCCCCACCATGACCTCCTCCTCCCCTACCTTGTAGCAGCTCTCCATGTTTGATCATGGCTCCCTGCACCTCATAGAATGTGTTGATGATGCTTCTACTATATCTAGAACATGTATTGACTCCATTCAATAACACACTAATATATTTCACTGCATATATCAACCCTTGAGACTGGGAAAAAAGACCAGGAGATCTATACACTGATACCGTACTGACCTGAGTACTACCAGTCAAGCAGAGTATGGTAGTACACTTGATAGGTCTGCACAATAAGGCTCCCACGCTTTGATCAACTGATCAGACCTGATATAGTACTATATGCACAGGTGCATTGGAAATATTTTCCTAAACAGATCTGTTAGCTCTCTGGTTGTTTAATTGCATACAGCAGCATTACTAGCCTACTCACAATGATCATAGCTATCACTGAGAAGCATGTAACCATATAGCATGGCTATCCTGTGGCCAGTATTGAGTGGCAGATCCTTGGGGGGGGGAGTTTGATGGCTCCTGAGGCGGAATTCCCACGCCTCATCGGGTGCTCGAGCTCACGACACCTGCCTCTGAAATTTTCCCACGCTCCAGCCTGAGCGGAAACTGATCTGTATAGCTCAGATCTATAGCAATCAGTATGAAGTTTGATGTCACCAGGGTCCAAATCTCGAGTAGAACACAGTGGTAAGCATTAGAAAGTGATAGAGTCGAATGCAAATACTACATATCATATATACCTCTGCTCAACTATGAGAATCTGAGATCTATGGTCCAATACTATGTATAGAGATAGAAAAAAGACTGTGTTCAGCTCAAGAACTATGGTTCATGAGAACCTAATAGTTGGTTAATAAAACATAAGTTTATCATCTTGTTCAAAATTTGGCCTCAACTGGAATTGAACCCACAAATGCTGAGAAGAATTAATTTCACAGAAGTAATTGCCACTAGACCATCCAGCTCTAAGTGACTAACCCCAACTATCATACATAGTAGACCTACAGCAGGCCAGCATGTCAGTTAATGCTCAATCTAGCAAGTATTCAGACTGGTCAATCTACATCTGTTCACCCTCTACTTCTGGCTACATAAATTAATAGCACATGAATGGGAATGCCAATGACTGTAATTCATATTTAGTGTTTGCCACGGGGAACCCGAGGGGTCTTCCAAGGCAACCTGTCCCCGTCCCCACCAAAATCTGTCCCCTCACAGACGGGGACGGGATTGCTTTCCCACGGGATGGAAATGGGTTCAATGGATATGAACCTAGCGATCTTCCCTTCTGAGGTGGTAAAACCACTTCTTGCACCTAAGACGATCGCTACTGCGCCATCTAGAGTAGTCTTTGAGGCGCTCTTGGTCTCTCCTGGGCTATAGAGCGCCATTATGAGCCATTCTTGGCTCGTCGAGTGCAACCCGCGGGGTCAATGGGTTGGGCGCGAGTTGACCTTGCCCTCCCCGTCCCCTGTCTCTGTATACCGTGGGGTTTTGGGAAACTCGTGACGGATACTATTCAGATTTATAATGTGGTCCGGTATGCATCATAAGTGGGTGTATCAAGCATAGTATACACACAGTAGTACAAGCTCACACAGACTTATCTGGATAGGTAGATATAGAGATTACTGGATGGT